CCCACACCTCCCCCTTTATAGTCCAGCCAGGGCGTGGTTTCTTTTTTTTTTAATACAAGTTTTATTAATTTTTCAAATTTTTACATCCAAGTAATCAGGAAGCAGCATGGTGATAGGGTAATCAATAATTCAATAACAAAATCATTCATGTATATCTCGGGTTACATCAATAATAGTTCCCTCTCTATTTCCCACAAGTATTATATCATATTCATATTAATAAATTTTCTAACTAAAACTCAGTCAATCAATATATTTGTTAGTAACATTTTGGTTATACATATCCAAGTCCTGTTTTAAAGTTTTACTTAATTCCAATTACCATATTTTAATTTAGCCTTTTATAACCAATGTTAAGCTTCGGATAACCTTAATTTCCCTCATTTCATTATAAGATAATTAACGTTACTAAAATACACATGTTGTTCCAAAATTTAGCTTTTTACTTTATTAACTGATATATTCTGTTTCTCTTCCTAGTAACTCCTCATTTACTAAAAAAAGTCCTTCATTGTCACAAATCTATTTCCATATAACAATTAAAGCTATAATCTAACAATTAATTTTAATTCCCATTATAAATCTAAATCCTAAATGTTAAATCAATCATTGTCTCTAAAAAGCTGCTTAACCCATTAGATGAATTTCTACATCCCATTTTTAAATCTAACTCTGGCTTTCTTTTTGTGCCAGGCCAGTTTCCATGCCAGTGCCTTTAAAACCTCAGATGTGTCTCCCTTCATTCCCACATCTGTTGTTTGAGTCAAGGGAGAACATCCAGTTAACAATCTTTCAAAAGAACTGGCCTCTTTATGGTTATTAGGTTGTTGCCCTAATAATTCAAATCTCCATGTTTGATTTGACATGTTTATCATCAGTTCAGTCTGGTCCTCTTCTTCTTCTTGAAGTTCTGTCTGGGTAGAATAAAAGATCATATCCAGTGTTGTAATTGTTGTTTGGTTATCTAAGTTGTCTGAATTCTCAATGTAGCGTGTTTGTTGATAAATTCCTGTTGCTTTGGGAGTTACAGGAACTGTAGTTAAAGTCAGTGTTTGAATATCAAAGTTATCAGTGAGTTGTATGTGTTGTGTGGAATCCTCTTTGATGTTAAATTGTTCCTCTTCTATTATTTTTTGACTTGTAAGTTGGAGTCTAGGGTTCAATTTGCAGTTTTGTGAAAATATCCCTGGCTTTCACTCTTAAGCTCAGTGGCTTCAAGGATTTTTTCAAGGATAAGTTTATAGTTAAGTTGTGGATAAAGTTCCTCCATTTCCATGGTGATTAGAGATAGTCCTTTAGTGGAGGCTATGTTTAATGAGAGTCAGGCAATGTCCACCTCCACACCTTGTAAAAGTTATTGTCACCACCCAGCTGTATCCACTACTTATCTTTTTTGATAATATGAAGGGCAAATCAAGGGAGTCAACAGGCACAATTGAAGAAAAAATTTCAATTGCTATGCCAGGTTTTGCCACAAGATGTCCCCAGCAGACCACAAAATCTTTTTCCAGATGCCTAATAGCTTTTTATTCAGTTAAAAAAAAACCAGAAAAAAAGTATTTTCCAAAATTAATAGTTAAAGAAGATGTTAAGTCTCTATAATAGGATGTTTTGGGACCCCAAGATATCCGCAAGACAAAAATCCAGTTATTTAGTTATTGAAGTTAGTTGGTTTTTTTCCTTTTCTTTCCAAAATTAAAATTCCCAAGTATGCAAACACCGCTAAATTGAGAGCGGGGAAGAAGTTTCAAAGAGCTTTCACAGGAAAGTAGTTAGGGTAAAAGAGAGGTAAAGAAGGATCTCACCCAAATCCTGCACGGTGCTTCGCTGTGCTTAGTTGTTATTTTGGCTTTTGGCTGGTGCGACTTGATGATCGGCCATGTTAATGGCCGATCTTCCTCCTTCGTCAGTCCTGAGGAGCTGCCTTGGATCAAACAGAGGGGCTGCCACCCCTCCGCGATCTAAAGGTCCTCCTCAATGGTGGTCATCCCTCCAGGGCGACTTTCGACTCTTTCCAGGGTCTTCTGACGGAGAGAAACCGAGCGGCGGAGAGAGAGAGAGCTCTCCCTGCATGGCCGAAGGCGCCGCGATCCGGAACCGGAAGCCAGGGCGTGGTTTCTTAATGACTTTTACTTTGCCTATGGAGCCGCCCCACTGCCTTCCTCTGGCTTGTTCGCCTCTCCTCTCTGCGCATCCACGCATCTGGGATTGGCCCCAGCTGTTCCTCATCATCGCCCAACTCAGGCTCCCAAAACAGCTGTGTCTCTGCCCAAGCGTGAGTAGAGGGGCCGGGCTCCTCATCTGACTGTGAGTCTTGGTGCTCCTCATTATCTTCCTCAGACTCCAATGTCACTCCAGGCTCCTCATCTGAGTCCTTAGACTCGGCTGCCGAATCCACTGTTTGGTGAGGAATCACAACAACTCCTGCCAGTTTGGTGTCATCTGCAGATTTGATGAGTTCCTCTTCAATTCTCTCATCTAAGACATTGATAAAGATATTGAAGAGTACTGGGCCTATACTGTATGAATGCTTCTACAGTCAACTTCTATAGATGACTTGTTGAGCCCCTAAGTTAATCTCCTTTTTTGTCTGTGTACACAATATATTTATTTGGTCATACTTCCAGACATTTGCGAAAACAGAAAAAGCAAACATCTCAGTGCACTCTTGCTAGTTAATATACTGCAGGAGCAACATTAATAACTATGTATATGAAAATTTTCCAGTTATACTTTCCAGTCCTACCCACCTGGAAATAAGCCATCAAGTACCTGTCCTACAATACAAATTCTACATTCCTTAATCATTGCCCCAAAGGCAAACAAAAGATGCTGTGTATTTCTAGCTGTGCTGAAAGCAAACAAAAGTCTATCAGAAACCTGGCAGATCTGTGCTGGTAAAATCCAGTTTAAAGTGTATATGAGATATTGATTGGAATATATTTTTAGTTCCTACAAACTGAGATTACTATTCCATATTCCTTTACAGGGCAAACATACTGACTTCAGCCCAAGGCCAGAAAAGAAGTTGTAAAGCCCTCCACCCACCCACCCCAAGTGCTGTTGACCCTTATCTAACTCTAAGTAGATGCTGACTGTTAGTTGAGTAGATTCCTGTACATAGGCTTTTAATAATAAATCAGTTTAATTGAACCTTCATATGTGGACCTGGTCTTTCATGCCTGACAGCCACTATGCAAGACCATTCTTCTGGATTTGTGCTGAAAATACTCTACAGATGCCTAAACAATAAGAAAGAAACAGAGTACCCATGTTACTCTTAGTGAGTCTAAGTAACATTTAAATTTTGTGACTCAGGCATATTCTCATTTAGCAATTAAGAACCATGAAGGGGAAGCCCCTAATTTGAACCTGACTTCTGCTAATATGGCCTAGGAAGCTGAGTTTTTTTAGCCTTGGCCACCCACTAACCCTCAGTAAACAAGACAAAGTTGATGATAATGATGATGATTGATTATGATGATAGTTTATCGCAAAGGGCTATGATGACATTAAGAAAGTTTATGAACTTCTAAGTATTTGTTTTACAGGGAAAGGTCACAAAAGACAAGATTCGCCAGATTTCTTCAGAGGATGTCTGCTTTATACTTTGAGATCTGTAGTTTAGAGTATGATATAGATGGTGATCATGCTCCATGGGAAACTCAATTTTTCCCTCCTTTAGTCTAGATGACTAAGCTAAATAATGAATGTCATTTCAAAATACCCAAATGCAGTCTCTTGTTCCCACACATTCTTTGATGTGCTATAAGCCACAGAGTTGACATCTAACAAGTTTAAAAAGCAAACATAAATGTCAGACAAAGTGGAGGGATTATTTCAGTGGCTTCATCTGCCTAAGTGTTTCTCACTCTTAGCAATTTTAAGAAACATGGTCTTCAACTGCCAGAATCCCCCAGCCAGAAGGAATTAAAATCCACATATTTCAAAATTGCCAAGGTTGAGAAATACTCATCTTTCCTTTCTAGTGTACTGAAGCCAAAGCTTAAAAGTAATTCAAAATCTACACAGAATTACATCTATGCAGATTCTCTGTGATTTTGAGAATTCAGTTTTATATGCGCAGCTTGGTGGTACCTGCCCAACTTTTGCAAATCTTAAAAACTTAAATTGAACAGCAAATGCTGTTGTATCCTTCCTATTCAATGTTACAAAAGTGAAGATATAGCTAACTGAGCAGGTTTGGAAGGCCTGACTTTATATGTCATATGGCAGTGGGAGGCCAAGGCAGAGAAGTGTTGTGAAAAAGTGCCTGAACATAGAAATGCTAATGTTGGAGGGAGAAAGTGGGCTTGGACAGTGAATTGGACTGATGGTTCCTAGCATTTGCCCACCCCCCACCCCAGACGAGGAGAAGGCAACAGGAGGTGGCTAAAGAGCAGGGGCTCAGACAGAAGGACAGGTGAAGTGGGGTATTTGGCGCATAAATAAAAGGAGCAATTTGGGGGAAGTAAATTTAATAGGGGGTGGTATGAAATTGATTTTCAGTAGAACTCAAGGAAAGAGGGAAGCAACATTTTCATTCTTTTTTTAAAAAACCTTACAAATGTAGTTATAATATGCACAATATAGCTTCAGATACAGAGGTCAGAAAATCCTGGTCCTATCAATCTGTGAAAATTCTGATCTTTTCTTTTTAAGGGGAAAAAAGAATAAAATTTAAACTGTAGATCACAGAAAGCTACCCACTACTCCTCTGTTTCACATAAGGAATTGAATTTTAAGCACCCCATTAAGAATGAATAATTCACTTTCTCTCATATTTTTGTCTGATTAAATATGAGAAACCTTTTTGACACCATTTAATTTAAATATACAATATGGACATTATTAATTTTATATTATTACTGATTATATTTATTGTGGCCACTCACTTTAGAGGGCTTGCAGTATTCAGAAACGCATGCATATATATATGAGTGTGAGTGTGTGTGCTGTTTGATAAGCATATGACAGGGTTTATTTATTTTTCCCCAAAGGGATCTAAAATGCAAAATTGAAAAAGAAAGCACTAAGCGGGAGCTACTGTCCACTCAATCCCACCTCAACAAAACCCTCTGTATCCATTGTCTGCAACCCTTTAAGTTTCTATTAAACAGCAAACGCCAGTGCTTGGACTGTCACTTGTACATATGCAAAGGTTGCAGCCAGTACAACAAAAAGGAGCAAGGTTGGATGTGTGATCCATGCCGCCTAGTTAGGTAAGTGGGCTAGACAAGAGTTTTGTCATCTCCTCTCTTTATTATAGTTCTGACTGGACATTAAACAGTAATATTCTTAAGCTTTTTAATTTCTCATGTGAAGTATAGTTTTCATGACTTAGCACATCTTACAAAGAATATTGTGTTTAGTTTGGTTAGTATTGTTCATTTGAATCTACCTCCTGTATATCTAGAACTGAAAACAAGTCATGGTGAGAGATAAATGATGAAACCTGCGTGGTGATGGGTTATAAACCATACCCTTTTATCCTTGTGGCCCAATGCTGAATGCAACTATTTAAATTTATGTCATGCTGTTACAAAGTATGGTTCATCTCTTGTTATCCCTTCTCTCTGTGGACATCTACTGTATGAGAGTAGAAATTAAAGGAAGGAATGGATTGGGGGTGGGGGGAAGAGAAAGATGCCAATACTGACTTTTTTCATTATTAAAAGAAGGAGACACTAAACTATAATTCACATAGGATTATTCCTTGGGTGTTTATTGTAATAGCCCTTGTAAATATGTTATGCTGAAAGACAGTGATTCCTGCAAAGATGACAATAAATTGAGACACCTCTCTCTC